TGTATTGGGCGCTGCTTCTAAGTTCCTTGTCCAGTTCCAGCAGAAAGCATGTTGTTCTCGGTCTTCCGTGACTGCTACAACCTCGGAGCTGAAAATCACCAAAAGACTAATCACACTGAGAGCGCAGTGGCAATGATAACTCTCCTTCGTTTCTTGGATGAGCTCAAGGAGTTCAGCCCCGAGGACTCTACTTGAAGGTTCATGGGTATATAAGTGGGGTTAAACGTATAGTAACGGTAATTGTAGCCCATACTAGGGGACTTACGATCCCACTCACAGCTACCCATGAACCTTCAAGTGCCAGAGGGACCAGGAGTTGGAGCTACGGGTAGCGCCAAGCATTATACCTGTTGCATACAGCGTAGTTCCCGGAGACTCCAGTACCCCTTATTTAGGGAATATACCTCAAATTATGATAGGGTCCCTAATGTGACGTAAGGAATATTCCTTAACTAAGGGATATGAGAGTCCCCTAAACCCTAAACCCTATAGAACCCTTTAAAGGAACCCTAGGTATACCTTATTTAAGGGATATTGGAGTCTCTGGGTTCCCGGGGCCCAAGCGTTGCAGTGTGGCCACCTCGGGCACATGGACCTTCGCCTGCAAGCGAAGGGCAATCAAAATACTCTAGGGGCCCTTAATGAATAGATTAGAGTTTTGGGGTTCCTTTACAGGGTTCCTTAAAAGGGGATCTATAAGGTAGTACTGTATAATAAAGGGGGCCTTAATAATTAGAAGAAGGATTTGGGGCCCATATTAATAAGGAACCCCACAAATAGTATAGGTAATTATTCAGGCCCCTGAGAGCTTCAGGCAGGGAGCAGGGACTGTTTTTGGTGAAGGAGCCGAAGTGGCCTGAATTGAATGAGAGGATGCGCGAAACAGCTCAGAAAGCAGCAGATAGTCTGGGAAACAGGGATCAAGCACCTTCCACCTGCGGCCGCGCCCATTGCCACTGCCTCCGCCAAATGTCAGGTGTTGGATCGGATTGAAACACGGGATTCACCCGTGGCTCTGCCCAAGAAGGGTCTGTTGATCAGCCTTCTCTCTGTATTCCTCAAAACCCCATGCTCCATACGACTGCGGCTTTCACCACGCCTTTCTTTGACGACTGGCGGCTCATCCTCCGGTCGAGAGCAGGGATGCTTGCAGCAGGGCTTGAGCTGGAGCGGACGGTTTTGCCACCTAGAGGAGAACCAGAAACCAGACGCTGGCACTATTGAACATTGAATTGGTAAAGCTCTCGGCCGCAGGGAACCAAACGATCGGCGACCCCAAGGGCTTTAGATTGTGCTAGTTTGGAGCTACACGAGGTCCTTTAACTTGTAGTGCTTTGACGAGCAGCACCGCCGGCAGTTCTCAAGCCCGTAAGTGTACAATTTCTTATTGCCATTCGTACACTGAGATCCTTCGAGCGGCCCTAACAGCCCAATAACCGACATGCCGACCTGGAAATCTCCATCTTGGATCTATCGGGAGCTAAGCACGCGCACACACAGACACACGCCCTGCACTGGAGAATATTCACATTGATGCTGGTGCGCATGCCAATATTCTATACCGGTAAACATGCATACGTACATGTACAGCTAGAATTGCCGCATGTCTGTACGCGTGGAATATCAAAACTCGCGTCGTTGGCTGAGAACTAGGTAATCTAGAATTCATGCGGCATGTGCAACATGTAAACAGGCTTCAGCGACAAGGCATCGGATATGCATCGTCCGGAGTGTGGGCCGTGTGGGCACATGTAAAAAAACCGCCGAGGCAAGGACCGATTCAGGGGCAGCAGTCAGGCTGATCATGGGCGGCTCGTATGCCTGTGCCCAGCATCAAACCCTGCTCAACCATTAAGGCTAGGTCGCCCGCATTCCTTGGCATTTCTGAGCTTGTGATGGTGATACCCACTGCAAAGAGCGTAGTCATTCCGTGCTTTTGTTCTTCGAAACAACGCACCACGCACCAAGCATGAGCAAATGCAATGCGGGAGCGAAGTTGCGGCGCCTCATTGTGAGCATTCAAAGGCTGTAGAACCTGGCAAGAAGGACAACGATGGAAACCTGCGATGCATCCTGATTTGCATCGTTCCTCTACAACCTGCAGTGTCTTGGTCTAGCGAAATCTACAACATCTGCAAGGGAAAGGTGAAGCCTCCGGTAGGAGTCGGCTTCGCTGGGGATGGCTGCCTACGCCCTAGGTACCCCAAGCATCCATGATGATAAGAGCAAATATTCTGATTTCTTCACTTGTTGCTTGTTGCTTCTTGTGTATGATTGTGACTAATATGTTGTTGGTTCTCAATTTCGTTTGCAACAAATCTTATTGTCATAGTTATGATTTCTATCAGCACTTGTGCACTGATTGTGATTATTGATGATCATTACTGTTCAGCCCTGCACGGCCCATTCCCGGCAGGCTGCATGTGCACACACAGCCTTGGAAGTGGCCATGGCTGCGCACAAGCCTGCGAGCCAGCAGGGCATGTGGTTTCTCTGCTTCTGAGACAATGGTGATGCACCAATGCCTCTGTAGATTGAGCCGCCACCGACCCACACGCACACATATGCACTCAAATGCACACCTCTTGTAGTCTACGCACTCAACACGACTGGGCTATGAGCACCCATGTGTATGCACCATAAAGTCCACCCAATAAATCCCAACGCCCCAGGCCTCGGTTTTGAGGCCTGGCGGGTGCATGCCGCAGCCACCTCATTCGGGTGCTACTTCTGCTTGAAATCCTCGTTTCCTAGGTTCTATAGATGTGCAGCAGAAGTGTCGGAACTACCTTTCAAAAGGTCTTGGTCTCCATCGCACATAGCAGCGGTAGAGCAGGAGTATTCATCCCAAGCACTCATGTCAACGACCGAGCATCGTGGAGCATAAGCGCATCGCCAACAACGACAGTGAAGATTGTGGCGACGACGACGACGTTGATGGTTGCGATGATGAAAGTGATGCTGACGATGAGAGTGTCATTTATGTGCCCCAGACCCCCAACCGCGGATGCCCTTTCCAAGATAATTATGAAATATGAACGACTACTGCTGCTAGTACTGTGTGTTGATGGACAGAGCGTACATGCAAGAGGCCACCGTCTTTGGCTGTAGATCATGCCTTCATAGTGGAAAGCTCTGTCACATTCATTGTAGATGAGCAAACAGCACGCCTCCTCCCGAACGACTCTAGACTCTGGAAGTAGTCACCCTTATTATGATGCTTGTTCTTATTTTTCTTACCTATCGTTGCTTTTTCTGACTCTGCTTTCCTCTGACTCAGCGTTGTTTATGTTGCTGTCTACACTTCGTCTTGCGGCATCGTGCTAGATCCTGCAAGCTGTACGCCGAGGACCACGCAATCTCGCGACTCTCCGCAGTGATGAGTGGTCGAGCCAAAAGGGATGCCAATCAACACAGTCGCACGATTCCTTCTCGGGACTTCGACGGGGACTTCTGCGAGCTCTTGAGCGAGGTCGTAGGCTCCCCGAACTCTGGGGAGTGCGAAGTTTGACGACGACGACTTGTCTTGACCGTAGCTTGTATAGGTTGCTTTGCCCCAGCGATGCAACAATCTCCTCGAAAGTGTTTACACGTCGGAGTAGCAAACGAGGCGTCTCTTCATGACGGTAACGAAAGGCATCCTGAGCATCATCTTGCTGAATGTGCTCTCAAGCCCCTCAATAGCAGTCCCACTTGGGAGCGCAGCTTGCTTACCCTAGGCTTGCGTTGGAGTACTTTCGAAAGAATTCCGACGAGCTCCCCCAATCTCGAAGAGCTGCGGACTTTGCTTCCATGGGGGCTCCCGATTTGCCATGGATGAAGGGGCTGGGCTACTGTTGAGATCACAGCACACGACAAGCTCGAGCATGGGATGCAATTTGTCTTTTGCAAAGTGCGGGTGCTGGCTGATCGGCTCAGCTGGCTGAGAAGGTTCATCACAAGACCTGGGTGAGTTTCAGCACTTGCTTTGCAGGATTCTAGAGGCTTAGGCTGCCGGGCTTCACAGATGCGGCAAACGCAATGCAACAGAAAGCTCGCACCCTTTTTGTGCCGGAAGTGTTGGGCCGCCTTCAGATTCTGTTCAGTCGGATATTTGCTCTGAGAATCCAAACCGAGGATGGGTTTTCTGAGGCCCTCTTTGGATTCTTGTACGACTGGCGGTGGGCTATGCTTGCCGCCTCCGCAAGTTCCTCCAACGGTTGAGGGGGACGGTTGGTGTTCTCGTCACTACAGTCAAATCAAAGATTTCCAGTACTGCCCTGCCAGTCTTGGCGACACAGCACAAAATCACAAAGCACACTGAGAAGTCAGCAACTGCGACAACCACAAGCTTGACCCGTCCTGAAAGCCAACCCTCGTGGCCTCTGGCTTCATTAACTGGTCTGAGCACTGCAGCCAGCACAAGCTTTGGCTGGCCTAAACTTAGCCGCGTATTCCCCACGTAGAAACGAACTCCTGCATTGAAGGAGGGGGCCCTCGTGAAAAGAGCCCTAGCGGGCACAAACAAAAAGCTAGCTGTAAGGGCATCATAATTTCAGGACCCCTCCGAGTTGACTACGGTCGAGGGCACTGTGATGGCGAAAAGCAGAAAGATGCAGGCAGATGCCAGGGCTTGAAGGTTCATGGGTACTTATAAGTGGGGGGTTATAAGGATGGTAACGGCAATTATAGCCCATATTAGGGGACTTATAAACCCCACTTATAACTACCCATGAACCTCGGAGCGCCTGCAGCTCCCTTTGGAACGGCAGAAAGAGCGCAGCCGAAGATCAATGAATCCAAGCTGGGCCTTGCGAAAACGATGAGCTTGCAGTGGCTGAGAAGTCCGTCCTAAGAGGCTTCTCCAAACCCCCCAAGGCCTTACGTAGTTCAGATCAATCGTTGACAAGGTTTCAAGCTGAGCATTGGTACCACCTGCATCTGTTCTTCTTCTTCCGGACTACAGCATACCCCCAAAGCCTAAAGCCCTAAAACCTGCAAGTCTTCAGGAGGTTGCGACCTCAGTCGCCCCCGAGAGGGCGTTTCTTCCCAGTGCGGCCAACTAAGAGCCGCATGATGCGCTTGGCCAGGTCCGGGTGATCCTCGATGATCTGGTCCAGCGTCCTTATAGTCTATCGTACTGACGGAGCCGAGAAGAATTTCAGGGCTGATGTTCGTGCTGTCTTTCATCGAACTTTATACTTTATACTATTTACTTAATTTTCGCGTGTTTGTTTCCAATCGTGAAGAGCCGACTTCGGACGACGACGACGACGACAGCGACGACCGCTGCTAATCCTCCCCCTCCTCCTGCTACTGCCGCTTCTGCTGACAGTGAAAGAAAAACTTGTTCATGTGACTCTGCTAGCATCGCCACTCGCCGTTGCACCACTACCATGAGTCTGTCCACTCCTGAAGCAACGTCCCATACTCTAAACGATCACGACGACGAATACTCCTACCGTCTCCTACCCAAACTCTTTCCTCCTCCTCTTCTTCTTCTCCTCCTCATCCGATCCTCATCCGCATCATCATCGTCATTGTCACGCGTCTCATCGTTGTCGTAATCACCGTCACCACCGTCACCACCGCCACCAGCGTCACCGCCGTCACCACCGCCACCACCGTCACCGCCGCCACCACCGTCACCACCGCCATCCTCATGGTCATCATTGGCCCGTTTTCCCCGGTCTCCCAACCCAGCTGTCTCACAATAGAACAGAGGACCTTGCTTATAATTTCTCATACGGCGTTAAGCTGGTGCTTTCCAGAGCCTAGCGGGAGATTGCCGGCATCGGGTCCACGGATCTTGAGGCATGGTTGGACGAACCAAGAGTCCCAACAAGAGCCAAGCGTCTCGTGCTTCGATTTCAGGATCTCGCATTCGTCGGCCTGGGCTCGTCGTGACCGCAAATGAGTGCTTCTGTTGAGTTGTTCAATGCTTTTTAGCATAACAGCGGCAGATCTAAGCTCAACCTCTGAAAGTCATACAGCACCGGACCACGAGAGCACAAACATGTGTTGTGCAGTATACTTGGTCTGACACAATCCGAGACTGCAACAAATGGAAGCCCAACATGGCACCTTCTGCACGACCGTTCCCCCATTAGGATTCTGCACCCTGCACTCCACTATCCGCTAGCCTCACTGGCCTTAGCTCTCCAAGAGAAATTCCGAAAGTCAGGCCTTGATCATCTCCAGGCAGGCCAGCTCCAGGAGGCCTCCGCTGCCGACCACTTGGCCCAGGAACCTTCGTAGACATCCAGATGGTCCAGAGCAGTTTGCTGAGATGAGGAGATCTACTTCGATTCATGCTCTACTCTGCTCCTTGCACAGATCCACCAACTACCACTGCGGCTCCTCCTCCTCATCCTCCTCTTATTGCTGCGACACCCACTACAACATTTACCACCACAGCCGCTAGCGTGCACAGGAGGAGTGGGAAGAGGAGGAGGAGCGAGCAGGAACAGCAGCAGTAGCAGCAGCAGCAGCAGCAGCAGCAGCACTACCTCCACAGAACCACCAAGTGAGGTGAATTGCATGTTCTCGCTCGAGGCCTGTGCCCAACTCGCGGCTTGAGTACGGCTGCGTTGCTCTCTAAGGCTTCTGCTAGGAGAGGGTCTGCTTCACTGCAATGTTTCGTTTGGCCGGACAGCTACAGGATGGCTTTTGGAGCTGATGCTTCCTGAGATCAAGACCCAAAATGCGCAACGACACCTCCCAGTAAATCCTGGCCCAGGCACGCGAGGACGTTGTCGGCGGACAGCATGTTCACTAGCTCCACCTCAACAGCAATCGTTCGGCCCCGAGGCATTTAAACACTGATGTCATCAAAGATGCTGGTGGATAGCAGCGGTTCTGCATAACGTAGCAATCAGCTTTTCAATGCCAAGTATTCAGACTGTGCAGTAACAACAAAGGCCGGCCTGCAACGATCTGTCTGCGTGAATGAACTTCAACTAACTTTACTTTCACTTTGCCGGGAGCAGCCTCGATCTTCTCGACCAGCTGAGGGAGGCTATATCTGCGTCAAGGTTACGGCTTAAGACTTAAGATGGCTCAGGCTTCACCGCGCGTGTGCAGCGGCAGGACTGCAGGACATGCAAGGAGTGGTCCGAGTGGTGCTTTACGGGCAAGGTATTGCTAGGCTTCGCAACTGAGCTTGGGTTGAAGCTCCGACATCAAGGTGCAACGTCGGACCACTAGTCCAGGGGGTATTGGAAAGTGCCCAAGCTCTTTGCTTCTTTATTACAACTTTACAACTGCAGTGCCTGTCTGCCAGCCGTCGGACAGCAAAGGCGAAGTTGGTGTCACCACCAGCTGTGAAGGTGTTGGACATGATAAAGAACAGCAGCCTGAGCTCAAGACTGCAAGCTTTCTGTGTGGATCAAGGAGGGGGCGGCCTTCGTGAGCCCTGTCGAGGAGGCTAGCAGCTAGCAGATTTCTGGTCCCTGCCGAGACACGCGCTGAAAGAGCGATGATCGACGGACGTGTCGCTTCTGCAGGATGGGTCAAAACTGCAAGAAGCACAGCTCTCAGTCTCTCACACCTCTCAAACGACAAGTACGTAAGGCCACCCGTAACGAAGGTTACTGTTTGCGATCGCCCGGCCTGAGGTCGATGATGTTGGTCCTGGCCTCCTTCCACTTGGGCTCGCTGAGCATCTCTTTGAAATACTCCGAGCGGCTGATGAGCAGGCGCTTGTCCATGAACAGGCCTTGCAGACTGTGCAGACTCCCAAATCCCAAAGGAATAAGGAAGTAAACGCCAGAAAAGAGAACGGAAGCCAGAGAAGTTACAACAAAGTTACATCACTTGGGTCGAAGCGACGAGGTCCTTGGGACAACTGGAAGGTGACTTGCGTGACTTCTTGACTCAAGTCCAAGGCCCGGATGCTCTCGCCAAAAACATCCTTGGGAACAGGAAGCTTCAGTCTTCCCACCACCAAGACTTTCTTCTCAGAGTTCAGCCAGCCCAGGTCCACTTGCAAACTGTTGCTGGGCAGGATAGAACCGAAGCGACAGGTATCGTCGCTGTTCTGAAAAGTCATGACGTCCCAGCAATGAACACCATAATCGTACCAGTTGTGAAGTACCACCTCCACCTCGACTTCCTCGCAGCTCCAACTGCAACCCGCAAGCTCTCGCGGAGGCAGCATCTGCACATTGACTGCCACATACCTGTCCAGCAGACCCTCCTCCTCTTTCAATCCATGGGGAAACAGCGTCATCTGAAACCGATAGAAATTCAAAGGTCCTGAGTGAAAGCAAACGCTGCAAGCTATTGCCAATAAGAAGCAAGCTTACGAAGCTTTCTGTTGTGGGATGTGGGAATCACAATAACTTAGTACGAGGGAGGGTCAACCTTTGAACAAGTGATCTGAAAACAGCGACTTCGGTTCGCTCCTCCAATGGTTGACGATATGCTCTCTCCAGGCTGGAAAGTGTCAGTATCTCCTCGCAGGGAAAAATCACCAACTGAGGGTTTGGAGAAGGTGAGGGAAAATGCGACATGCATCTGACGTCGCTTATCGGATTCAGCATGGACTGGCCATGCCAAACCCAAAAGGACAGACAGAACAGTAGGCTGTGACTCATGTTGAGACCCGAAGCCATCGTGTTTCAGAAGCGGCGCTCCTACGAAGAGCTCGACCTCAAAGGCCTCTCTGCGTACGTGTTCGACGGGGGCCGAAGCCGCTTCAGACTGCTCCGCGGCCGCCATGACAAGGGTGCCAGGGATCTTTGTGCTGTTCGGGCTTCACTTTGGGTCCTTACAGGCTTACAGGTGCTCGGCTTGGAGCTGTGGGCTTAGAGTTTTGGGTTTTTGGGAGCCGGCTCGGCTGTGAGAGTTCGAGCCGACTTATGACCCCTACCCTATAATGGGCTATATAGTGGGTATATAATAGCTATATTAAGGGGATAAGCTCGGCCTTCAGGGCTTCCCCTGTGACTAGAAGATGTAGCTGGAAAGGACTGGAGCGCCGCTCGCCGATTTGAGGGGGGATGGCGTTTTGAACATGTGCTTTTTGGCCTTCATGGGCCAGGAATGCATCTGAAATGCTCCAAACGAAGATAGCTGCTGGATCAAAACTCAGTCAATGTTGTTTGCAGCCACCCCGCGGAAGTGCACCATCGGGGCAGAAACCGTCGAACAAGTCTCTACAAGTCGGGACCCTGCAGTCCCAAAGCCAGCACTCTTATTGCTTGTCCCACCATGAGCTCAAGACAATTTTTGCCAGACTGCTTCGCTACCTTGACCTCACTAACTCCAGCAGTTTGGGCCCTGACAAACTCTGCAAGAAGGCTGGTCGCCTCCAGACATCGAGCAGCGGCTTCGAGCTTCGGAAGGGCTGAGCTGTGGAGCTTAGGGCCTAGGGTTTTTTCTGACTGATTGTCGAGGAATGTTCGGTTCTTCGATGTAGTGTCTAAGATTTTGGCCGTGGAGGCTGGCAGCTACAGATCAAGCCCTCAGCCGAGGACTGCCCGGCTCTACTATCAGACCTTAGGATGACACGGGACTTACGACTTGAGGGATTGTCTTGGCATCCCGGCACTCCAGCATCCTCCAACTGCGTCTTGCTGAAGGATGCCATCGCTTCCTTGATGACCTGTCGTGATCCGAACGGTATGAGCGCATGTCTGCAACACAGTACAATGTATCCATGTATCTGTGTGCATGGATGCATTTTCGATGTATACATTAGATATGCCATGTATCAGATGCTCAGTCAATACCGTGACTCACTTGGGAGTGGCTCTTGATCGAACCGTATGTGCTGAGACGGCAATTTTGGCCGGCCATGTTTTCACTGCTGATGACCCCGATTGATAAATCGTCTCTGAACCCCAGCTCCGATCAAAGGGCCAGGCGTGTACCCACATAATGTGACAGCACACCGATAATTGATACAGCGGGGGGAGAAAATGTGGGACAAGGTGGGCCATCAGTCCAACCAAAATTGACCGTAAGCACAACTGGCCCAAGTTGCAGACTTGCGAGATGCACAGATACAAATGAAAAGGAGGTGCTGCCAGTCTTCGAGCATGGGCTCGTCTAGGCTGATGTGTGAGGGAATTTGTTCCGTAGTTGGGAGCCTCTGCATGGTTCTGGACGTCCTCCGAACGAGCTGACTGAAGAAGCACCTTAGCAGAATAGTTGCTGCAAGGTCTTGATGGATAATCAGTACATATTCAGGTGAAATGTGGGTTCAACACTTATGACACACGTCTCAAAACGTTGGAGTGCCAGTCCGGCGTTGCTCGTGACATTCCAATGAGGATGGGATACTAACTCTTCCATTGCATTTAGCATGCGACTGCCGTTTGGCCCGCAAAGCTGGACTGGTGCGAGACTGCTATGTCGTTCGCGAGTGCCAAGCTATGACACCAACACGGAGTGCAAGGATGGCCCTTTTATGCTCTTTGCCAACAGCAGGTCAAAACGTCAAGCTACAGGTCGGCGTCAAGGGCATTGAGAGTTTGTGCCTTGGAAGGGAAGAGGTCCTCCACTTGAAAGTTACAAAGCTAAAAACGAAGACTTGAACGACGGACACCCTGGCTTCAGAAGCAGACATGCCCAATGCTGAAACACGGCGCGTCTGCTCAGCACGCTTAGGCTTAGGCTGAGTCTGAGTTGCCCTCGGAATTTGAGATCAACCACGTCGTATTCAGTCGCACAGTGTTTAGCATAAGCCTCGCACAGACCATATTGTCCTTGAGCCTTCAGCTCCACTGTCTGCAGGCAAGTGTCGAGTGCCATCAAGGCGATGCTTTGGCTGTCCTCAGTACTAGATCTTTGCTAGTGATCCTCCCCGTAGCTGCTCCGGAACAGCTTGCTAGCGTTTGGAAGGCTTGATTAGGCGACCGTCGCGGGGGAGAACTGATGCACGACTTTCCCAGGCGTTTCGTGTGATCCGTCCGATGCAGCCTAGTCAAGATTAGTTGCAAGTTTCTGAGAGCTACAGTCAGGCTTGATACCCCGTCATGGCCCAGGGCAGCTGACCAGCTACATCGTTGGAAACGCGAGGCATGTAACCTCAACCTGAGAACTTGTCCGGCTTACCAATCCTACGAGCTCCACAGCGCACGCCTCGTCCAGGTCGGGGAGAAGCAATACGAGCCTCAAGCGTGCTCCCACCATTTTCCGCTCGCACCCAAACTGCTCACCGAGTTTCGAGCCCCAGCATTTCTGACTAGTTCAAAATGCGATTTCAGAAATGTTCAGGGTTTGCCGGACTCGGAGCAGATCATCAGACCGACAGAGCCATGAAGTCAGGACACACTCCTGCAATCTCCTGCTAAGAGCACATGCCTCTGAGGGTGCTCACAGAATCCCTCCAACTGAGGCGCCGGCTTCTCAACCATGTCAGCGTCAGACTTGAGGGATTCTGAAGCCTTTCCAAGCTTCGGAGAGTCTGACGGGCTTGAGGGACACGAGGTTTCAGCGAAGTGGGCAAAGGACGCAAGGCAGGGGAGGCAGTAGATTCGCGGTAACGCATGGACCGATTCCAAGCATATCGACCACAAAAATGTCCATTCAGGCTTTCTGCAATGCTTTAGACTACTTTAGACATGGCATGGGGGCTAGAAGACCAACGACGCGATGCGCATGAGGTCCTGAGGTCAATCTGGGGACAAATGTGCCCTGCAAGCAAAGCCATCCAAACATCGTCATCATGCCAAATTTGCCTGCAGCAGCAGCCGTGAATCCGCATCAGCCGCGCTTTGCGCCTCTCTCTTGCCACAGGCGGGCTGGTTCAGTTTTTCACTCAGCGTCTGCTGCCTGGAGCCAGAGAGCATAAAAACGTAACCGACAAGCCATTTCCCGGTCGCCTCGAAGAGGGTTGAAATTACCTGCACAGCACGAAGCTTGGATTTTGAAGCCTTCATCAAGGTCTCATGACTGTGACGTGGTGTCGCCTTCCAAGCATGGCAAGTCCAGGCCTACAGCTCCCATATGCCTTGAAGATCACGGAAGAGGCCCTACGTGATTCAGCTGGCAAATCTCAGACACTTCCAAATCTCAAACCTGAGGCCTAGCTGCTTCCCGAACCTCCCGAAACCCTGGGGCCTCCAATGCCTCCACCTGCGCTTCGGGCCGCTGCGCCGCGTGGAGTGCGGCCAAGGCCGCCGCAAGCGCCGCGGTGGCCTGACAGTTAAGAACCCCAGCTGCTGGGAGGCGTGGCAGCTTGGAGCACAGTCTCGAGCTTGGAAACTCACCTCTTATTCCAATAGGAGCCCACACGCTGCCTCGGAGTCGGAGCAAGCCATCACGGTCAGCAAACTGGCGCAAGTTGATATTTCCATGGAGCAGGTAGAGGAGTATACGTTTGCAGGTTTTTACGGTCAGGAGCCGTCTCCGATAAGCTGAGTCAAGATGAGTCAAGTTCCATGTTGGGGGTTTGTCGACTCGGGGTACTCAGCTGTCGCGGCCCGAGCTTGCATTATCCAGACAGTCTTCCACATTGCAACATGGATGCTCAAGCTGAAGACTCTGGTGCTGTGCCACCTCCAGCCAGCACGCTTGATGCAAGCCTGACTCGGATATGATCCCGACTACCATTCATAGTGCGGAAGAGGCTCACTGCAAAACCGTACAACCAGGAACAAGGCAAACCTACTACGTCTTGCTAATCGCCAGCGGCAAAGCTATGCTCAGCCCACCTGTCGATCAAACGCAAGACCGACCAGAGCACCGTTTCCGGATCTCCGTCGCCTCCAGCAGGCAGTGGTTCGCAGATTTACATAGCTCCTTCTCGATTCCATGGGAACTGCACGATCCCCTACAACATGCCAAGCGATGTTCAAGCCAAAACTACCCGGCTTGTTCGCGCGCTGATTGGGGCTGTGACCGTGGCTGTCGCTTGCGTATGATCCCGTCCCCATCATCATAGTCATCACCAGCGGAAGTGAAGCACTGATGATGACACGCCGATAGCATGCATCGCCGGCGATGTGGCCTTCTGCTCCATCGACACCCTCCTGACGGCAGTGTTGAAGGTCTGACTCAATCAACTAGCCTGCCGGGGCAGTCACAGGTTCACACGTTGAGCTGAGACCAGTATCACCGAATGCGCGGCTCACGACAATCAAACACAGGCGCGATGCGATGTGACGAATACTACCTTGCCAAGGCTTCTGTCTCAAGCGGCTGGGTCACCGTGCACCGTGCGACCAGGCAAGCCCGACGCAGAACGTGAGCTCAAAGCTTCAACCACAGCCCCCAATCATTCTCAATGGAAAGCCCCAAATCCCCAAGCCCGAGCCCCTCAACCCTGAAGCCGATAGCAACAACCACTGCTCGCACGCTTTCAAACACTATTCCTGTCATTCATAGTTCTATCGTTTTCCTTCTTGTTTACACTCTTGGTATGTATGCTACCCTTACCGATGATGATGCCCACGGTCACAACTTCCGCAACTACGACTCCCTTGCTGTCGAAAAGATTCTGAAACCCCGTGCCCTATGCCTCGATGGCCGCCGCCAGCTCTTCACAACGCTTTGCGACCCTAGGGATTAGGTAAGTTGATGATTCTATGCCTGTCTGTGCAACGTAAGAGTTCTAGGGCTTCTGTGGAGTCTTACGGTTCCGGCTGGGCCACTTATGCCTCTTGCGGGTTCAGGTCGAACGCTTCTACTTCTGCCGGAGGCTGGATTCTTCTCCATCCTACAAGCAGATAACTGAGCAAGTGTTGTTGTCCCACATACATTGTTAGTTCCAGTTCATGCCACTCAAGTAATGCAATGTAGATGCACGTCTCTTTCCCAGGCTCTGTGAGCAAGTCTTGGGAGCTTTCTCGACGGCAGAGCGCTGTGCTTTGAGTCCGCGTGAGGAGTAGCAGGGGTGGCCAGCATCCCACAAGCCCAAACACCCCAGCGTTTGGGGCCAAGGGTAGCCCGTACACTTCCGGCTCGAATTCCCAAAGTCTCCTCTCTTCTGATTGGGGACATGCTGTCAACTCCGACTTGAGGATGTGTGCCGTCATGCTGACCTTGAGCAAACTTTTCAGGAGATTCTGTTTCTGGTTTCAGCACGATAGTACGAGCCCCGACCTCACGCTCAATGCTTCCGCCAAAACCCCAAACACGCAGTCCGAAGTTGCACCCGCCAAAATCCTTGAAACAGAAGACCCGAGGCCCTGCACCCCTGTATTTCCCAGACTAGGCCCTCTTCCCAAGGAGCCCGCAAGGCCAAAGCGCTCAGGCGACCCAGCGCAGACAGAGATTCGCAGGGCCTTGCGAACAAAGCTTGAAAGCCATAGGAAAGCTTCAGCCGACGGCTACGGCCATGGATGTTGGGAGCAGAACCTGCAACTTCTTTCCATCTTTGAAGCTGCTGACTTGGGCCCCTCCCCTCCCCTCCCCTCCCCTCCACGCCTTATCTCCAACCTCCCAAAAGCTTCAGGATTCTGCTTGGGTTCCGCACGCCTCTGCGTTGGGTCCGCCCATCTGTGCCTCCGCAACAATGTTGAAGAAAAAACTGTACATTTCAATCATGTTACCCAGGTCTCGTTGCCATGGCCCCAAAGATGAAAGGTCGAATGAAGCTGCTTGTGCAACGCACCTCCGACTGAATCGAGAACTGGACTTAGTGGCTTGCTTGCATGGCAGGCAGATAGACAGGCGGACACACGGGCGCAGGACAGGCATGTAGCAGCTGCGCGATGAGAGGACAAACGGAAGATGGTGTCCTTGCCTCGAGGGCAATGCCCTGCGCCAGCGCGTCGCAAGCGAAGCGGACCTAGGGAGATGGGATCATAACGGCACTGGTCACCAAAACCCCGGCGACGTCGTACATCGTCGTACTAATCCCCGCCACTCATCCATAATAAAGGAACACCCAATAGTAACAACGCTTTCGGGACCCCCAAGAGACAGAGCACGAGCCCCCCACAAGTGGCAGTAGAGATACAAGCTCTCCCGAATAACAGAAAACACTTTCCAAATTTGTATTGAGGCGGGCCCCCCGTTTAGGGCCCGTGTCCTTCCTTCCCCCAACAGCCCGGAGCCCTGAGCGCTTCAGGCTTTGCTTGGATCCCTTTTCCGACCTTTCGCTCTTGGGATCACAGCTGCTCCCACCGCCGCTTCGCGGCGTAGGCAAGGTACATGGCTTCTCCTGAGCGGAAGACCAGGAGTAGGGTCGAATGCTTTGGAAACTAGGTTCTTGTCCAAACCCTCTCCATCGTTCAGCAATTCGGAGGAGGTGCAGTTGATGGGCTGATGGGCGTGAACTTGCAGATCGACATGTTCAGAGATTTCTCCTGTACCCGTGCTTCCAGCATACAACATGAGTAACGTTGCCGTGTTTGTTACACCTTGGATAGGTTATTACGACTATCAGCAACCAGTAGTCTTGTTATTGTTATTGCTATTGCTATTGTTATTGTTGTGGTTAAATCAGTATAGTCGTTACTATTGTCATCGTCATTACTGTCATTCACCTCAGCGCCTTTGTCAAGTGTTTTCGAAGTCTCCCTGCCTCGAGCGGAAGGACCAAACAACAATGTAAGAAACCCTGATCGGTTCGAATTGCGAGTAAGCCGCTCAGAAGATAGGAAAGACATGATTCTAGCAATACCGGTAACGGCAGGGCTCCGTAATACCTGCAGCAAAGTGTATCCCCAAAGCCGTAGCAACAGTTCGTTAAGTGCATTGTTCGTCCCAAAGCCATAAAAGTGCTTCGAAAAACGAAACCCTCAAGCTACGAACACGCGTCCAGTGAGCTGGTGAGGGTTTTATGACTGTCCAAGGGCTGAGGGCTGGCAGGGCACCCACGGCGAAGGCCAGAATCGTTCCGTAGAGTGCTGGGCCGCCCATGGACAGCGTCAGGAAAAGCACCAGCGCAGAAAGAAGGACGGGTCCTCTGCATTGTGACGTGTCTACTGGATGGCAACATGCTGTGAAAGGCAACTGCAACCATTGAATGCTTGGTCTCAGACTTCCCAACTTTACAGACCAGAGTCTCGGGTCCCATGAACCTCACACCTAGATCCCAATCCTTCAGTGCTCAAGTTGCTACGAGCTAAACCCCAAGCGCTGCAACCCCATGGCGTCCTGAGCTCCACAGCAGCACCCCTGTGAAGCCGACCGGCAGGCGAAAAGCTTCTGCATTCTCGTCTACCGGAGTCTCCCACCTGGCCAGATAAAGTGGACATTCGACGAACTGGGGTCCAAGTGTTCTGATTTCACTCAGGGCTGATCGATTTGCGGAACCGTTGAACGAAATCTCAGGGGAGCAGAAAACTTGCAGCACAGAACACCTGGCGACCTACACTTTCGCGGAGCAGAAGTACATGACATGTGTCCACATGTGCGAGGCTCACAAGGAAACGAACGGCCTGAAGCGGATCCATGTGGCGAACTGGATGATGAAGCTGACCTGTGTGGCGCAGCAAGCAACCCCGGTTTGCCGCGGAATGACAATCGCTCTGGCTACATGCGCCCCGGCATTCCAGCACGCCTTCGCCGTCAGCTGCGACCCGCCAAAGGCCCAACATGGGAGTTTAGACTGAAATAGTGCAACTTTCATGGCTAGAACCCCACTGCGACGGTATCATACCTCTTGTCCAGAAGCACTTGTCGATACATGGCAGCTGGAGGTTTTGATTGCCGGAGATTTTTTGGACCCGCACAAATCCTTTGGCTGCTTGGAGGCATGCCGGACCTCAACAACTCCCGAGCTTTGTCGTCGTAAGCCCGAATCACCAAACCTCTTCAGACGCGTGGCGCAGTCGAAAATGACTGTGGCAGCGATGAGCTCCACGAAGTGATATTGAAGAGTAAACGTCAGCACAAGCCCAAACAGCACCTGGACAAGGCGTGGGGCGCAGGTCTCTCGGTCTTCACGACGGAAGGATTTCCGATCTCTGGATAAGGGTCTGGGCCGTCCACGTCGTCAGGCTCACCAACGAAACAAATCATCTGGTAGCAAGCAGCCCTTGCTTCGATAGATTTCTGCAGACGAGTCGCTGTGCCGATATGCGGTGTCTGCAGCTTCGGATGCACGGTGCCGAGGCAAGCAGGCACCTCTGTGGAAGCCTATCTATGGCCCCCTCGCCACTTTTGCTCCGAAGGCTTGTGTAACCATGCAAAGCATGCGCTGCCAGCCTATCCGTTATCGAGGAAGGTGTCCGTGGAAGCAAACCAGCCCGCTGAACGGCATGCATGCTAGGGAAGCAGCACAAGGGAAGGTGACCAGCTGCTGTCAACAAATCCTTGACAGTAGTTGTAAGTGTAACGCCTTTCCGGAGCCCTAGGTGCAGTCGCTTTGGCGTGCGGCAACACCTCGCTTCCCCTTGAGCCAGGCAGCGGGTTGCCCGGGCTGCTCGGCCATGCAAATGATCTCCCGAACGGAGGTGCAAAGCAACGCATTCAGCCTCAGGCAGTGGTGCGGCCCTTTCGTGATTTTCGTCTGCTTGCTGCTTGTTCTAATCCTACCACTTCCATGAACCAGGTGATGACCAGCATGTGGCTTTGATAAGATCCTAGTGTGCGGGATTGGGCAAATCAACTGCCTCCGAATGAGATGCAAAAGAACCAGAGGCGCTCTTGCGCTGGAATCCTGCAATGAGGGGGGCTATCATCGCGTCAACAAGCTGAAATCGGGCCGTCCACCACCCCAGATTGCTCAACCATGCCCGGACTGATGTTTCGTCATTCTTCTGGCTACTTTTTCCACTCCAAGACCAGAGGCCCGGAGCCTGTGCTGCCATGATTCTGGGCTACGGATGAGGCGAAGCCGGCCAAGCTCAGAGCCTGGAGGTTTCGGTCTAGGCTGTAGGGAGTTGGGGTGGCGGATCCGGGATCAGAATCCTCTGAGAAGTGCACTATAGTTCCTGCAACGAGCATTGTAGCAGGTTCAGGTTCGTTGTTTCGCTCGCTTTGTCGCGCTCTCGATTTTTTTTTTCTCTCTCTCTCTCTCTATCTCTATCTCTCTGTACATATATACAGTGGTGTAGGATATATAACCTAATGCAATGTATTAAAACCATTGTGTATAATGTGTGCGCACACAAGACACACGTACAAACCTGTGCACACACACACACAGACACACACGTGCACATCTTCAGTTCTGTTCTGGCACAGTCCAAAGGCGTTGACATAACGGTGTAACGACCCACACTGTTGCGGAGTGCCCGACTTCTAGCCCTGTTCGGGGCCAGGAGATCCGAGCTCGCCATGCATCCGCAGTTCGGACCAACTCCTCGACCAGAAAGCTAGATGCAATACTTCGATCGCCGAGGAACGAAGCCCAAAGGTGCACCTCCAAGCCGTTCACCTCCGCACGCTGACGATCTCCTACCAGTGTTTCCCTTCATTACGGATGGGGGTTGCTTCAATTGGTCCATTCCCTTCTTGGGGCTCGAGCTACGTTCGAAACTGATTCGTGTCTCACTTGTTCTGATTGCCCCACAAACAATCAACAAGCCCTTCCTATCCATGCAGATGGGCCAAGACGCCCACCGTGGCCAGGAAGCCTGAGATTTGGGTCCGAGGAACACGGGGCTTGCGCCGGCGCATACTCCCTAAAGCCGATCCCAACACTTTCGAGCTTCGCTTCCCTAGTTTAGATTCCGGCTTGCAGAGCATCACCTGAGCCTGGCGGCCATCGTGCCAACGCTCCGGCGCGGATTCCACGGCGACTCCGACGGACAGTGGCAAGACCTCGCGCAGCGGATCTGGCTTGGGTAGGCTGCCTTTTCGGGGGGCTTTCGTGGGTAGTGGGCTTGAGACTCCACACTCCTGCACTTGGTAGAACTTTGACGGCACACCAGCTCTTGAACACTCACAAGTCTTGAAACCTCATGCATTTCAGGGGCGACATGGATAGAATCAGTTTCCCCATCTTCGTCTAGCTAAGATGTCTGAAACTTCTCCCTCTTTCGCGCCACCAGGATTAAGACCAGCCTTGTAAGCTTTTCTGGAGGCTGCAAAATTCCTACAGCTTCCTGCTCTTTATATGCTTGGATTAATCCAGGTAGCATAGAGCGCCGTAACCAGTGCCACAGAGATTCCAAGCCTGAGACGCTGCACGGGAAGAGGACAAACTTCCACCAGCATTGGAGTGATGGGTGGTTTTGATGTATGTTTGGGCATGGGCAAAGAGGAAAGCCACAGCCATGCACCTGGGAGATCCTGGCTTTCCGGCGAACAGACACACATGCCGATTTCTTCCATACACTCTCCCCTTAAAACCTGGTCCTTCACCGAAGGCCCGGCTTCGAAGCCGAGATTCGCTTTGGGATAGATCTTCGCGGGTGCGCGAACCTGTCCATGCAACTCTTGAGCTGCACTATCGGCTGGGCTCAACCTCGAATCCTCTTTCCCGGGAAGGGACGAGCCGCGAGTACGCTCATGCAATCATGCCCGCACCAGCAGTGCGTTATGATGGCCCAAATCAGAGCTCCCAACTGCACCTCAGCTGCAGAGGCACCTGCATCATCAAAGCCTCGAGCCGCTCGGGGTTTTGAGGCTGGCTTGGGTCGTGGGCACCGGTTCTACGCCGGGATTGGGTTCAGGACATGAGATACACGTGACATCGCGTTGCTGCAAAGATGCGGGACACCTCACACATCGACCGACGTACGAGTCGGAGTCATTATGGACTCCAGGTTCGCACAGCATGATGCTAAAGTTGCATATAGGTCAATGGAACATATCTAGCCTCTCAGAATGCATCGTGATTTTAAGGGTGCGTTGCCTGAACGAGATTGCTTCGACCCACATTGCCCGCACTTT